AGTGTGATTAAAATGATAGATAAAATACTCATTGTAATGTAATGGAATGTTTAATAAATAAGTGAAATAAAGAGAATGAGAGAATGGAATTAGGAAAGGAGGGGAACATTTTAATTATTATAAATGTGTTATAAAACTTTAAGTGAAGAGGAATATGAAAGAAACGGAAAAATTATGGAAATATTATAAGTGTTCCTATGGGTATGAGGTATGATACCCTATTAATAGGTATGATACCCTATTGAAAATAAATGTTTAAAGATGTCAAAGATTATCACTAACATTAATGATAGAGCTGAATTGGAATAGAATAAGTATTTTATTTATTATTGTGATATATATATTTTCTCTTTAAGAACTTAGTGCGTATTTTAAGAATGTACCAAGCAGAATTCGACTGGAAGTTATGTGTTATATTGAATGTTATAATTGCAAAGGCATAAATTGAAGTTTAAATAAGAGTTGAATGGATAAAAATTAAAAGATACAAAGTTGTCATACTCCAATTAGTAACTACAGGGAAAAATTTGTTTAATGAGAAAAGAAAATATGAAATTGTAACAGGACAGACAAAAGTATAAATATAATGACTAGAAAGATATTGAAACTTAGAAAAGATATATATATATAATTGAATTTAGAAAGGAATGAGATAATTAAAAGTAAGATTGAGGAAACTGAGGGAAGGGAAAAATTATTGAGAAAATGTTAAAATAATAATAAGATATGGAATAGAACACAAAGATGAATATGAAATTGAATTTGTGTCTGTATGTAGAAGTGATAACCCGGGACCATGCTATTCTCAAAAAAAGAAATTTTACTTGTATTATGTTTTGTGAAAACCCAAATAATTTTTTTATAAGAGAAAAACCTCCAGTGATGAAGCATCCACTTCTGGAGGGAAGCCGTTCCACTGGTTAATTGTCCTCACTGTTATGAAGTTTCTCCTCAATTCCAGGTTGCTTCTCTCCTTGATTGGTTTCTATCCATTGGTTCTTGTCTTGCATTCTGGTGCTTTGCAGAATAGATAGATTAGATAGATTAACAGAGTTGGAAGGGACCTTGTAGGTCATCTAGTCCAACCCCCTGCCCAAGCAGGAGACCCTACCTACACCATTTCTGGCAAATGGCAGTCCAATCTCTTCTTGAAAGTCTCAAGTGATGGCGCTCCCACAAGTTCTGAGGGCAACTTCAGTTCCGTTGGTTGATTGTTCTCCCTGTCAGAAAGTTTCTCTTTATTTCCAGGTCGAATCTCTCCTTGTTCAGTTTCCATCCATTATTCCTTGTCTGGCCATTGGGTGCCTTGGAAAATAGCTTGATCCCTTCCTCTATGTGGCAGCCCCTCAAATATTGGAACACTGTTATCATGGTCCTTCTCTTCACTAGACTAGCCATGCCTAGTTCCTGTAACCGTTCTTCATATGTTTTAATCCCCTAATCATCCTGGTTGCTCTTCACTGCACTTTTTCTTGCCTAAGTGTAAGACTTTACTTTTCTCTACATTGAATTTCATTGTGTTAGATAGGACCCAGTGTTCTAGTCTGTCAAGATCCATCTGGGTCTTGAGCCTATCTTCTTGGGTGTTAGCTATTCCTGCCAGTTTAGTACCATCTGCAAATTTGGTAAGTTCCCCTTCTATTCCCTCATCTAAGTCATTAATGAAGATATTGAAGAGTACTGGGCCTAAGACTGAAGCTTGTGGTACCTCACTGCTTACTTCCCTCCTTGTAGACCCATTAAGGACTACTCATTGAGTACAGTTTGTCAGCCAGTTACGAATCCATTTGGTGGTGGTGCTATCTATCCCACTTTTTTCTAGCTTACCAAGAACAGTTGCAGAAATTGGGTTTGGCCAGTCTAGAGACTGGGGTGGGGGACGACATGATAGCAATCTTCCAAAAACTCCCAACCGTTTCATGGTGGTGTTCCCCAAGCACTTCGAAGATCTTCTCACTGACCAAAAGACTTGAGACCGTATCAAGACCATCAGTCAGGGCCCTAGGAGCACAGCTGAATTCCACAACCTGGGCTGTTGGCTGAACGACTGGCCACAAGGGGAGAGAGCAAGATCGGCGGTGCAGGGATGCTAGCAGCTCCTCAATTATTGGAAGACTGCTATCATGTCGTTCTTCCACCCCAGTCTCTAGACTGGCCAAACCCAATTTCTGCAACTCTGTTCTTTTTTCTTTTTCTTTTAGTCTCCAGGCCTTTAATCATCTTAAGTTGCTCTCCTTTGCACTTTTTCCAAAGCCTCAACATCTTTTTTGTAATATGGTGACCAAAACTGGATGACGTATTGCAGGTGAGGCCTTACTAAGGCTTTATAAATGGTATAAAGACTCCTGTCTTGGGCAGGGAGGGCAAGACCTCCAAAATCCCTTCCGGGCCTGTGATTCTATGATTCCAGATGAGATTCCCCCACCCCCAAAAATTGTCTTCTAAAAGCATTGTTTTATTGAGCTTTATTGTGCTGTACATAAAAGGGGGGGGGCTTTATCATACAGCCCAATGAAGGATAAGGATTATGTGAAAAAGTCATCAGCCCTAAAATGTTTGCCCACCCATGATTTCTTTTTGACAACCCCATGTTGACTTCTAGTAATCGTCTTTCTCGTTTTTGGGCACTCACAAATCTACTGCTTGATTATCCTTTCTGGGATCTTCCCAGGTGTTGATGTCAGGTTGCTTGGTCTGTGGTTTCCTGGATCTGTTCCCTCCCCCCTGTTTGAAGATTGGAACCACATCAGCCCTTTTCTAGTCTCCTGGTAGTCTCATGACTACCATATTTGTTCCATCTGCCTTTCCAGTAAATATATCTGATTCCATTTCAGTGTATTATTGTTAAACCATCTTTAAAAATATTTATTACTATTATTTATTTTGTTTTTTACCTTCTTCATCCTGAAGTCAGAGAATGTGGAACTCGTAACAACTCCCAGCATCTTGTCTCAGGGGCCTTCGATGTGGCTTCTTCCCAAGTGACCCTCCCCTCCAAAGGGGACAAAAAGGACTGAAGTGACGCACCTGAGTGCAGGGCCTTCTTCCCTTACTCCTTCTGTGCAATGGGGTATCCAACTCACAGGCATTTCTGCACTCTAGCACTGAAATTGAACCAGGAGAGGAGGCTGGTGGCCATGGAGAACGTTGCTTCTCCATTCCAGCCTTCTACTTAAAACATACCTAGAATCTAGTCATTCTTTACTTTCGTCTTTTTTCTTCTTTAAAGCCCCTTTGCCCCTTTGCCCCCACCCTCCAGCCACAGCCAATCGACAGCGAGCGTTCAGATTCAGCAGAAACTCTGCCGGTGGCATTTCTCCGAAACCAATGGACCTCTGTCCCCCCCCCCTCCCAGCAAGGGAGCTTCACTGAGGGACCACTGTACTCCACCAATTCACCCCAAGGCCAAGCCATCACACCTCAAGGCTCTGAGGCTCTGAGGGGTGGGTCTCTCCTGAGCCATGGAGGCGCTGGCCGGCAAGCGGGATGGCAGTAGTGGGATGCTCACCTCAGGGTCAGGCCCTCTGTGAAGATGCTGAGGGGGCTGCGTTGGCAGGCAGTGGCATTTCTCTCTCTCTCTCTCTCTCTCTCTCTCTCTCTCTCTCTCTCTCTCTCTCTCTCTCTGTGCTGGCAACCCTTCTCTGTGGGAAGGGGAGCGTCACACATATACAGACACAACCACTAATGCAGTCGTCATCATCCCCCCACCACGCCTTCACGGAAGGCCCAATCCTGGGCCGAGCATTTTGCTTCTGCTGCCACCCCACTTGCCACTACCACCACCCCGGCCAGCCCCTACATGGCTCAGGAGAGGCCCACCCGTCAGAGCCCCAATTGGCTGCCTGCTTTTCCTTGGGGCGAATCGGTGGAGTACAATGGTCCCTCAGTGAAGCATCTGTGATGAGAGACGCAGAAGGTGGAGGGCTGGGGGTCCATCTGCATTGGAGAAACGCCAGCAAGAGGTTCAGCTGAGTCTGAACACTCGCTGTCGATTGGCTGTGACTGGAGGGCGGGGCTGAAGGGGGTGCAAGCATGCGGTGGAGGCAAAACGTCCTAGCCCAGAGGTGTCAAACTCAAGGCCCAGGGGCCGGATCCAGCCTGCGGGGTGCTTAAATCTGGCCTGTGGAAACATCAAAGGACCAACCCACAGTGCCTCTGCCAGTGAAAACAGAGCTCCAGGGTGCCCCCACTCCAACCTCTGCTTTTGCTGGCAGAGGGCTGCATAAGGCCACAACCTCCGAGGTCAAACACAACCCCGAGGCGGCCCTCCATGAAATGGAGTGTCAGGATTCCAGCAGTTACCCCAATTAAATTATGAGTCTTGAGCCAAACTTCTGAAACGTCAAAAGGATTTATTGGGAATTAACATGTCCGGCACTGCCTGGATGTAGCCGACTCTGAGACACATAATTCATTGTCACCCTTGACTCTGATTTTCCCTCCCACCCCACCTCCTGGGTGTATCATAATTCATGTTCTCCAAGGAGACACATCCATAGCCAAGAGTCATCAATCATGCTCTCCAGTTAATATTTTGCATGGCAGAAACTTATGTCACCTAGTTACTATCTTTGAAAAACTATTTATGGAATGCACTTTTGATTTCCGAGCTGCCACACTTCTCCCTCCTCCCTTTCTGTTGGCAACTCTAAAAAGACCATAGAAATATTTTATGAGTTGACATGGAGTTTGGCTCCCCTGTCCTAGCCCACCTGTGGGTTTCCTGCTGCCCCCTTCTTTTGGCGTATGAACAGTGTCAGTTTGCTGGCATGACAAGCCCTTTCCCACTCCAAGACCTACAATCTTTTTGCACCTTCTTTACCTGGTGCCATTATTGGTGGCCTCTGTGTTAAACTTGGAACAGCTGTCAGCCCTTGATCCCCATGACTGTTTCTCCCCACACACAGACACAGACACGCCACCCTACCCCCAATGGCCCCTCACTGGAACCTTGTCTCAGATAAGCATTTCAGACTGAGAGGTGGAGATGGAGTTTCTACATTTATTGTAAGAACAAATTCTGTAGACAAAAATTGCACAAAACTACCACACATTTGGTTCAAGACATTCCCTCCGGCAAACTTGCTTGGCCTGTTTCATTAGAATCACTTCTCGGGTCCACGAGAGCTTCTCCTCGGTGACTGCAAATGAAGCTTCTGTCCCACTTACAACCCCTACGAAGAGGAGAGAGTCTCGTCATTGTAAACGGAATGACAAAGAGAGAACGTCTGTTGACTTCAAAGGCAGAGGAACGTAGGGATTTAGAGCACTCCCAGGTGATGTGGGAGCAGCCGTTGCTCGGTCTCAGAGAAGAGAAATTTGTGCTGGGATGCCCACCGTGTCTGCTTTGTTTTCTCCTGAATAGATTGCACTTCAGTAGAAGAGACCCTGGGCAGCTCAGGGTTAAAGTCCTTGGACTGGGTTAAATGGCATGTAACCAGGAAACAAACTTGCTCCCTTCTATACTGTGAGGACGTTACCTTGCCGGGCAGTGAAATACCTGCAAGAAAATCACCCAGCCCAGAGCATACTAAAGACCCCACAGGGTGCCCTTCTTTTAAGCTGGCTTGTTTTTTCATAAATGCACAGATTCTTTCCCTTGCAGCAAACTGAAATGAACCAGTTGTTGTATAAACCCCATTATTCTTTCTTCTCTCCAGCACTTTGATTAAAGTATGTATTAATACAAGCTAATTACCTTCTTGGATGGCCTTCCTTCGATCTTTGATATAACTTCCTCTTCCACAATCTCTGCAGCTTTCTGGGAAAAATGGGGGAAAGGTACAAGGACTCAGGCCACGTCCATTCAAGGCAATGAGAGAAGGCTGCCCTTGTGGTCAGAGGTGGGATTCAGCAGGTTCTGACCAGTTTTGGAGAACCGGTAGTGGAAATTTCGAGTAGTTTGGAGAACCGGCCAATCCCACCTCTGACTGGCCCCGCCTCCCGAGTCCCAGCTGATTGGCTGGGTCTTCTTTGGTTGCCCTGCACAGGAGAACAGAACTGGAAAGCAGGTTAGTAGGAAGGGGTGGGAATGGAGATTTTACAGTAGCCTTCCCCTGCCATGCCCACCAAGCCAGATAGAGAGAGACTTCCAGGCCTGTGGACAGCTCTGAACACCCACTGCAATTCTTTAGGGCAGGTGTCTAGACTGGCTAGGGAATTCGGGAAGTTGTCCACAGATCTTCAAGTTGCCAAGGTTCGACACCTCTTCTTTTGGGTAAAAGATATGAGCCAGCATCGTGTGGCGGCCGCCAAAAAAGCCAATGCAATCCTAAATTGCATCAACAGAGGGATACAATCAAGATCAAGTGAGGTACTAATACCACTCTATAAAGCCTTAGTAAGACCACACCTAGAGTACTGCATCCAGTTTTGGTCACCACACGATAAAAAAGGATGTTGAGACTCTAGAAAAAATGCACAGAAGAGCAAGCAGGATGATGAGGGGACTGGAGACTAAAACATACAATGAACGGTTGCAGGAACTGGGCCTGGCTAGTCTAGTGAAGAGAAGGACCAGGGGAGACACGATAGAGGTCTTCCAATATTTGAAGGGCTGCCACACAGAGAACCTATTTTCCAAAGCATCCGAAGACCAGACAAGGAATAATGGATGGAAACTGAACAAGGAGAGATTCAACCTAGAAATAAGGAGACATTTTCTGTTCAACCAATGGAACAGAAGTTGCCCTCGGAAATTCCAACTCTTGTTATTCTGTGTTCTGTATTCGAATTGCTTGTGAATGCAAGGAGACCAGAATACATGCACTGAGAGATCCTCCTACCTGGTCTACAGGCAATTCAACCTGCGTGTTTTCATCTTCTCCAATTTCCTGCGCATCCGCCATCTCCTGCCTTCCTCCTCTCCTTTTATAAACACTTTCATCTTCTGAAAAAAAATAAAAATAAAACACAAGGCAACATGAGATCCCTTGGGAATAAGGTGCACTTCCCTCCTTGTGCGAAAGCTCCAGACCAGTTAAACTAGGGGGGGTGGGCGTGGCCAGCACATGAGGCATGTGGCCCACAGGCCACACGTTTGACCCCCCCTGCTCCAGATCCAGATGGTGGCTACAAATTAGCTTTGATGCCTTTATGACTGATCTGGCAGAAGAAAGCCCTGCCTGTGTTTACAAAACAAACCATGATTAACAGAGCCATGGATACTGAAGGCATTGTGGGAGAAGCCCTGTGGAGTCTGTGCTAGCCCTTTTCCAGCATTTCAGGCATTCACTTTCCTGAGCCGCTGCGGACATCAATGTCAGCGTCCCAGTGAAACTTCCCATTCTCATTCAGTACTCAGAAACAAAGTTCATCCAACATAGCTTCAGAGCTGCAGAGCTTAATACAGAGCCACGCCAAGGCTACTTCTAGTTTCAGTTTCCAAACAATCCTCCTTGGCTGACTTAGTTGCTATGTCTATTCATTGGCTGACCTTGTCACCATGCTCTATTCCAGTTCATGAACATACTTTGGACACTATCACCATAGCATCCTCACCAGTTATAGCCCACCCTCCGCCTTTCACGCCTAGACATGCGTGCTTTTCCTTCTCCATTTATTTATTTTTACCTTGGGCAGAATAGTTGCCAGGGCCCTGGCTCACTTGTCTGACCTGGCTTGGCTTGGCATGGAAGACAGATGTCGCTTTATCTTGGTGAGGATATTTCTTAGCTGCCCTGGACTCAGAGGGACGTGGAGGGTCTCCTGCAGGCATGATCCCTGTGGAATGCACCCGCCAAGGTTTCAGCTGGAAGTTCAAGGAATGTTCATCAGGGCCAGTTCAAATCATCACCAGCACCTCCTATTTCCATCCTCTCAAAGTCGTCCCCACTCCACAATCTCTTTCCATGCCAAAAATAAAAAAAAGCAATTCCCTGCAGAAAAGGTGCCACAGCTCCCCAGCTTTTGGATCCGTAGCCCTTGGGAAAGTGGGGAGTCTCTGGCACACCCCCAGGGCTGTGAGATTTCAACTCGCCCCCCCCCAGCTCCATCCAGGCCAGGAAGGATGGCAAGGAGTCCAAGCCTCTTTGGATGGGAAGCTGCTTCCCCATGCTTGTTCCAGGCCAGTGGTAGCTAACCTTTTTGGGCTCCTGTGCCAAAAATTGTGCACGCGCTTGCACATTCACGCTCACGTGCCAGCACCCAGAAGGCAATGCACGCCCCCCCACACCCACTACACATGCGTGCGTAATCACCATGCGGTGGGTTGGACTAGATGACCTACAACAGGGGTCCTCAACCACCGGGCCGTGGACCGGTCCCGGTCCGTGGAGCACTCTGTACCGGGCCGCAAATTAAAAAAAATTAAAAAAATGGTGGCTTTCTTCGCCTTCGGTGAATGCTGCTGGGATCGTGGATCAAGGACACAAATGAAAGAAGGGGAGGGAGGAAGCAACCAAAGCCTGTCCTGCTCTCCGGCTCAGCAGCTTCGGTTTCCTCCCGCCTCGTTCCTCTCTCAGTTGCTCTCTCGCTCCTCCACCAGCCCAGGAAGAAACTGCTTCAAAGAAGCCGGGGGGGGTGGCTTTTCCTGTCGCCGCAGCTCCTCCGAAGCGCCCGTTTACCCCCACCCCGCCCGCCCGCGCGCGGTTCAATCCAGTGCTCCGTTCTGCCTGCCTGCCTGTCTGGTTGTTTGGGAGCAGCTTCGGGTGAGAATAATAACTCTTTTTATCAGCTGTCAAACTCGATCGCATGCATCGTATGCTGGCCACGTCCATGCCCAGTTTAGCAAAGGGGGGGGGAAGTCACAATATGTCACGTGACAATGCCAGGATGCCGCAAGTTTGGCATCCCTGCTCTAGGGAGACCCCCCAGGACAGGCTCTGGCCCAGCACTTTGAGATTTTAAGCCCCCCTTCCCCAAGCCAGATGTGAGCAATCCCCAAGGCCCAAAGAAGTGTGCCTGACTCCCCGGTTTGCAAAAGGCTAAATTATTACTACAGGTGGTCCTCAGCCAACTTCTTACCACCCATTTGAAGTGACGATGGGCCCCAAAACAGGTACTTAGGGCCCAGATTTGAAGTGACAGTGGCTGCCCCCTTCCCCCACAGTCACACAATTGTGTTTCAAATGCTCAGCAACGACCTGCAGCATCTTGTAGTCACGTAACCACAATTGACTTTTTTTGCCACAAACTGATGTTTACTTCCAATTTCTAGCAAAAAATGCCCATGGTGAACAAGGGGTCCACTTAACAACCACAAATTGAGTTAAACACCATTATGATTCTCTTAACAACGGCCACAAAAAAATCTAAAATCAGGTTGGTCACGTGATGACCCCTTAACAATGTAAAATCTTCTTTTCATAAAAATTGTAAGAACACAAAAAGCAGGACATTTGGAAAAGTCAAAAGGTCAGCTGTGGCTACAAAATCCAAGCCCTTTGAGGTGCATTGTATTTCTTAAAAGGGTGGAACTTGGTTAGGCGGTTGCAGCTGCTATCTTGACTTTTTGGACACCCACAAACGCCTGCAGACGCCCCTGCTGATTACGATTTGGACCCAAATCAGCATCATGAGGGAGATGTAAGGGCCCTAGGCTAGGTTGATAAGACCCCACTTCTGAAAGTCTCAGGAAATAGGGCTTCCGCCTTATTTCCTGCCAATCGGCTGGAGATCTTAAGATGCAGGCAGGACAACTTGCCAAACTTTGCTTGAGGTTTTCAGTATACACAGGTTGAACATAATATTCATGAATTTAGCCCACCGAGCCTTTTATTGTGGAGAAAATATATTCCCCAAAATGAGATTTTTATTGCAGAAACTTCAGTGTTTTATATATACATATACATGCACACACATACACATATAATGTAATTTAGAGGTCTTTGAGAATATAGAATCCCACTTTCAGCCAACACGAAACATTAAAATCCTGCACTTTTTGATTTAAGTTTGGCAGACTAAACCCTCCAAATTCCCTTTACCTGTTGCGCCGGCTCAAGGAGTGCCGAGTCGCTGGCTACGTCTTCAGAGACCACCTGGAGAGAATAGAAGGGAATAGAAATAACTAAACAGGTAAACAACATTGTGAGGTTTTGCTGATTCTGATCTTAGCTAATGCAAAACCCCAAACTGGCAAGACATTAAATAATGAAATACTGAAATGTAATAATGTTGTACACGTTTTATTTTTTTAAAGACAAAATGTGATAATCACACATCAGGAAACGTATCAGCCTACAACCTCCCAAAATTCCAAGTGATAAAAATTAAATACTTGGCCACCATATTCTTTCTCTCCCTCTGACAAATGACCACTGTAGGTGAATTTTCTTCTTTCAGCACAACTTAGGCTACTTATGGGGAATTTTGGAACAGGCAGCGGGCATTCTCACCAAATGGCTACCATGCATGCATAACCCATCCACCAGTACACAGAGAAAGTCATGGACTCTCCCTTGTTTTTCAAGCCCCGTGTCTTGCCTCCCTCTGCCAAAAGCTTTGTGCTACCACCCCCTCCTCACTTTACCCTCTTTCTGGGGAAGGACCCATAGAGGCAGGGGCTGCTCTAGTTTACATTTGGTACCCAGGAGCTCTTGCAGTGATGGAGGCTGGCACTTTGCTTTGCCAAGATGCTGCTTTTCCCCAGACCTAATAAAACATTTAGACCAACTATAACCTTTTGCCTTCCAATCTATTGTAGCAATTTAATTTGGGCCCCGCTAATGAATACCACGTCCAGGGGCAGTAGCATTAGTAAGGGGAAGGGCCCCTCTTTTCTGGGATTTTCCTAAGAGTGGGAATGCCTGCTCCGTGATCTCCTGGGAAGGCGGGGAGAAGCCATGTGGCTGGGAGGAATTCCTACTTGAGCGGAATTCCTCCATGATTTTCAGGGTTGTCCCATAAGAATTTTCCCTCACTGGGAGGCTTTGCCATATATGACCCATCCGTTAATCCCAAACACAGCAGAAGCCACAATATCTTTTTTTTTTAAGTCTTAACAGGAACATTAACACATCACACACCTTCTCCGGAGGCAACGTATTTTTTGCTTCTTTTCAGACAGGAGCTGCTTTAGGAAATCCGCTCTCATGGCTACTTACCTCCTGATTGTAGCTCCTTCTGTTAGCAGGAAAGTTCCTACGAGCAGAAAAGCAGCACATTCATATCCACAGCAACTGAAGATGTTTTTCCTACCTCGCTGAGATACCTTGCAGGGTGATGGGAAGAAGGAATCACCTTGAGGAACAGGAGGGAGAGTTGCTACCCAGGCAACAGACAAGAGAACAGACGAGACAAGAGAACAGCCTGAGAAGCGACTCAGACCAGAACCTCTCCAGTTCTTCTGAAGAGAAAAGGAAGAGGCAGGGGAGCGTAATCACACCTGCAAGATCCTGGGGATGCTACAGCAAAAACAGTTGACCCCTCCATGGCCCTAGTTTCTTAGCCTGGACTACCTTGACACTCGGGGTCTGTAGGCCCAGCACACCCTGCCTCTCAGCTGGCGTTGGCTCCCTTTTCATGTGCTAGATGCCTGCTCTGGGATCGTGGCTCTCTTCTTGGTAGTTTCTTGATTTGTTTATTTGCCAAGGGAGATTCTCAATCGTCCAGGTCATGGTTGTCCCAGAATTGCTTTCCCCCAAAATAACCGGACATTCTTGGGTTTGTTTTCTTGAAAACGTTTTACTTTTCATCCAAGAAACTGAAGAACTCAAACTGGAGAAGCTTCTTGGATGAGAACCGAAACGTTTTCAAGAGGAAAAAAACCAAAAAAGTCCAATTGTCTTTTAGAAAAGCACCTTTGGGACACTGTCGCTTACTGTTAGCTTGTTTGGCAATTCCTCATTGGGGTATTGTTTGCTTCTTGATTGTTGGTCTAGTATTAAACTTGGTGTTGATCTGTGTTTATCTGGGTATTGATTGCTGGCAAGGAGGTGTTTGGGCCTTTTGGGGTTTTTTGACTCTGACAGGGCAAGCCACTGGTGTATAAAAAGACAGCAAAAGACACCCTTCTAGCACGGAGGACGTTACCTAATTGAGTAAAGAAGCGTCTGCAAGAAAAACAACCCAGGTCAGAGAGCACCCAGGACCCCACAGTTCAGTCCTGAGCCCCAAACATTCTTTTATCAGTTTCCCCCTGAAGGAACACAACGTAGGAGCCCTCCCAAGTTTCCCCAACGTCTCATTTGGTTTCTCCCAAACAAGGAAGATTGGAAGCACAGAGGTATTTGGAGAATGTGGTTGGACAATGCTGCTTTTTTTAATTCTCCTTCTTCTTTTTGTTCTAAGGAATTGTATTCTGCACAAAGGAACCTGCGGCTGCATTTCAGTCGCATTGATTCAGCCTTCTGGATGTGGGCCAGATTGGCTACCATTAAAATCAGGGGTGACCAACCTTGGCAACTTTAAGACTTGTGGACTTCAACTCCCAGAATTCCTCAGCCAGCTTTGCTGGCTGAGGAATTCTGGG